AATGTATATATATTTATATATAGATACACACACACACAACATATATATATTAAAAAATAAAATCCCCCTCTGCTCGTGTTTCCGCTACATTATCTGCAAATGCATCATGGCCAAAGGTGAGGGTCCTGCTGAGTGTGGTGGAGCCCACTTACACAAGTGTCTTTCATGGAAAAGGTGGCCTTTGATCAGCGTCGCTCGGGTAATCCATCAGGCCTCCTGCACGCCTACAAAAGAGCTCTTTCATGAAGATATCTCAAAGCTGGCTGCATTCTCCCAGGTTATGATGTATTTTTTTTTCCATCTGGTCATTTCATTGAAAGAAAATGTGCAAATTAGTTTTATAGTGTAGATGAACAGCAGAGAATCAGACCCCAGGTTTGTGCTTAGGTTGTTTTCTAAATTCTCTGGATATATTTGAAATAGTTTGTTGTTCTGTGTGGACAAGATGGCTTTTGTGTAGTCTGGGGTTTTTTGGGGGGTATGGTAGTGGGTTTTTTATTTTTATTTTGACAAGTTGTTAGATCCAGACTCTCTGTTCTCTCCTCTGTTTATTTATAGGCCACCTAATCCTTATCTCTGCACAAAATACCAGATTTCCAGCTGTTCCTCCAACAATGTTTGTGTGAAATCTTAGATTTCTATCTTGGGTTAGAGAGTAATAAACTCCTTCAGACTTCACTGCACTGGTCTTAACCACTACGGGGTTGATGTTTCACAAAGTGGTGAGAAATGAGGTGGTGGGTATGAAGAGCTCTCTGTTCTTGACCAGTTGTTAGGCTAATATTTATATCTAATTATTTTGTTAATCTGTTAATAAGTGCTAGCCTTGATGATGATGCTGTTTACATCTCAGTTTGTTCCTGTTTTGTTTTTTTTTAAATTATTATCTGCATTTCTTTGTGGTTTCTTTTTCTAGCTGGACTCTGGATATTGGTCTGTCTGTGTACACCATCTGCTCTGGTTTGCCACCTTCTTCCTCCCTCTCTTCCCTGGGGCATGAATTGTGCTGGGCATCGTAATGGAGAAGAGCAGACACTGGTTTTGGAAATGCTCTTTGTCTTGGGTTGTAAAGCACTTTGCAATCGGTGGAGGGGAGCTAGTTAGAGAAATATATCACCTTGTTCCTTTTTCTCACATTTCTGGTCCTGAGCACAGCTCTGACTGTCCTTTGGAAGATGATGACATCGTGCTGCAATTGCCCAGAGTCCCTGCTCAATCAGCAGCTAATTGGTTTGGAAAAAACCCACCTTTGCAAACCCAGGGGGTTAAGAAGTGTTTTATGAAACCAGTGCCTTTTTTTTTTAACCCAGTCTCTGTTATTGTGCTTGCTTGGAGGCTAGTTCTGCCAACTGCTGGACAGGTTCTTTTTTGCCACCAAAGGGAGCTGTGTGTTCATGGGTCCTCTCAAAAAACCCCCCAGAAACCAACAAATTAAAGAGAAAACTGTGTCTTGTGAGAATGGTGGAAACAACTCCTGTAAACACTGTTCATTTCTGGCTGTTACAAGAAATCCTCTCATCCCTGTTAGACCTGATAGTTTTGTTTTGGGGTTTTTTTTGTCTTTTATCTCTCTGCTTGCTGTTTTGTTCTTCTACATATTCATGTTGGAAAACCAGTTTTACTACTGTCCTTCTAGCAAAGAACAATAAGTTCCTCTGGAATAGCAGCATCCAGAGACACTGTGATAAAATAAGGATTGAAAACTGTTTGAAGTTAAAAAGTAGCCATTAACTTATGGGTAGCTTCTGTTGGCTCGTTGTGTTGGCTCGTAACATTAAGGGCAGTTAATGACAGAACAAGGGGAAATGGGTTTAAACTGGAAGAGGGGAGGTTTAGATTAGATATTAGGAAGAAGTTCTTCACTATGAGGGTGGTCAGACACTGGAACAGGTTGCCCAAGGAAGTTGTGGCTGCTCCTCCCTGGAAGTGTTCTCGGCCAGGCTGGATGAGGCTTTGAGCAACCTGGTCTAGTGGAAGGTGTCCCTGCTGCTGACAGGGGGGTTGGGACTGGATGAGCTCTAAGGTCCCTTCGAACCCAAACCAGTCTATGATTCTATGATGTGCAGTCATCTTTATTGCTGGGTTCCTTCATTATTATCCTGATTTTTCAAGGTGAAGTTATTTTCCTGCCTGTTCTTTGCCAAGCAGGGTGCCTGTCCCTCCTCACACATGTGTGAAGGACATCCTTCACCCTTCCTTTTCACCATGAGCTGGAAAAGTATCTGGGAGAGTTTGGGATCCCATGGCAGAATGTAGAGAACGTTTACGCTTGTGACAGCTGTTCCCATGTCCTTTTCAAGATGAACGTCACATGATGAGCTTTAAAGGACTCTCCAGCTGTAAGTTGGACAAGTTGCTTTGGCATCTCCGTGTAGTTTCCCCCTCTACTCTGCCCTGGTGAGGCCACATCTGGAGTATTGTGTCCAGGTCTGGGCCCCACAGTTCAGGAAGGACAGGGAACTGCTGGAGAGAGTCCAGCACAGAGCCACCAAGATGATGAAGGGAGTGGAGCATCTCCCTGCTGAGGAAAGGCTGAGGGAGCTGGGGCTCTTTAGCTTGGAGAAGAGGAGACTGAGGGGTGACCTCATTAATGTTTATAAATATGAAAAGGGCAAATGTCAGGAGGATGGAGCCAGGCTCTTCTCAGTGATGCCCAATGGTAGGACCAGGGGCAATGGGTGTGAGCTGGAACACAGGAGGTTCTGCTTCAACTTGAGAAGAAACTTCTGCCCTGTGAGGGTGCCAGAGCCCTGGGACAGGCTGCCCAGGGAGGGTGTGGAGTCTCCTTCTCTGGAGACATTCAAAACCACCTGGACGCCTTCCTGTGTGATCTCATTTAGGTTCCTGCTCTGGCAGGGGGGTTGGACTGGATGATCTTTCGAGGTCCCTTCCAATCCCCAACATTCTGTGATTCTCAGATAGTTCCATAGGCCGGACCATCCCTCACTGAAAGCTGTCCTGTAGAGCTGTGGTGGGAAGAGCTGTGCAGCATCATCAAAGCCTGTCTGCTGTTTGTAGTCCTAGAAATGCCCATGTAAGAGGTGGCCGAAGGGACTTGTCTGAAAACAGAAATGTCAGGTTGGAGTTCTGGGTGTTTAATGTTCCCACCTTGGTGGCTGTTCCGTGCGCTTGGGTTGTGTTGCCTTTAAACCTGTAGGTTTTTTTCTTATTGGCAACACTCAGTTTGTCAGTTCAAATAAGACTCTTCTTCCTGCAGCTGCCATGAGAAATACTGAGTTTTGTGGAATATTGGAGGCTTCCAGGAGGCTTTGGGCGTTGGCATCAATAAATGAGAACCTAATCCACAGTTCTCATAGTGGAATCCTCTTTCCTCCCTTGCTCACTTCATTGAATTAAGCAGATAATTCTGAGTGTACTCGGCTCATCTTGGTTCTAATACGGTGATTATTCTCTAGTGCCCTGAAGAATACTTAATTTATAGAGCTTTTCCATGAGTCATAAAAGCACTTTGTTAATAGATCTTTAGTCCTTAAGACCCGGGAGTAGTTTGTAAAATCTAGTCTAGCCACACACCTGCTGCTGGCCAGAGAACATCACTGGTGGCTTTTGATATCAAACATTTATTCTGTGGTGAGGAGAGCATGGCTTTTGGTAGCGTCTTTCAGTATTGGGTTTTGATGAGAGCAGACTTTAAAAAGATCTTTTTTAAAAAAATTTTACTCCAAAGAAAATTTTACCGAACTTGCTGGCAGTAAATTGTTTTTTCTTTCTCTTTTCCAGAGCGAGGCTATGATCCCTACAATCCAGAGCTTCCGAGGCCCTCGCTGGAGACGGAGGATGGTGCTCTGACTGACATTACAGATGTGACACCCGGTATTCTGGAGCTGGAGCTGGTCAACAAGGCCATTGAGGCTGTCAAAAATGAAGTTGAGAGAGAGCAGAAAAAGTACGAGGAACTGCTAGAAACGACAAAGGAGTTCAGTGCTTCAGAGTCCTCCTCGCTCATTTCAAATACGCCCGTGTCCGCTGCTGGGACACAAAATGACTCATTTACCTCCTTAGAATATAACCCAGGTAGCTACAACTTTAATAATAACTCGGACTACAACCCTACTCCTCTTGCTGCTGCTAGCCAGTCAAGTAAATACACTTTGAACAGTTCCCGATCTAAAGGGAGCTTGCTGGAATATGTTCCCAAGGCTGTAGTACAGAATAAAAAATACACTAGCGCTGTCACTAACAATAAATATGTGATTGATGACTCTAAGCCTTCTACAGACTTGGAATATGACCCACTTTCAAATTACTCAGCCAGGCTTTTAAGCAAAGCCACAACAAAGGAGCCAAAGGGGTCTAAAAGAGGTAGGGTGCCTAGTTATGAGGAATCTTATTCTCCGTCGCGAAAGAAGCTCTGCGAAGTCCCCGATGAGTATGAAGTGTGTGCCAGGTTCTCTTCCTCTGAAGATGAGGCTGATGTGGAATATAAGCCAACTTCTGTTAGTTCACAATCCAAAGCTGGTTCTGAAAGTGAATCAAATGACGAGTTATCCAACAAAGAGCAAAGCACCAAACTGGATGACTTTGTTTCGCGGGACAGGAAAGAAGCAGCAGCGCAATATGGCACGGAGGACCTTCCAGGTTCACAGAAAAACCTTGCCAAAAACTTATCAGATAAGAATGCAAAAACAGCAAAATTGTGTTCTGGTAAGAACAACCAGGAAATGGAAAATAAAAACAAAGACTCAAAAGACAAAACAAAAAGGAAGAAATCAGATGTTAGTAAAACAGCTGGGCTCAGCGAGGTTGGTAAGAAGGAAAAAAGTAAAAATACAGAAAAAGACAAAGTGCTCAAGAAAGAAGAAAAATTGAAAACCAAGAATGAAGAGAAAAACTGTAAAGATAAAAGTGTCAAAGTAAAAAACGACGGGAATGTAAAGAAACCGGAAAAACAAAAGTCAGAAAAAGTAGATGGGCTTAAGAAGGAAAAATCCAAGTCCTCCAGCAGTAGTTCAGGGAAAAGCAAGAGTGAGGGTGTCAGCAAAGGCTCTAGCACGGAGAAGCTGGGGAGCAGCAAGAAAGAGTCCAGGCTGAAAAATGGTAAAGAAACCTCTGACCATAAAAACAAAGAGAAGGGAACCAAGACTCCAGCCCTGGAGCGAAAGAAAGAGAAGGTCAATTCTACAGAAAAAGGAGATCCAAAGAGGGGTCGGAAGCAGCAGAGTTTGAGTCACGTTGACCTGTTTGGCGATGAGAGTGGGGATGATGATGACAAAGGCCGGCCTTTGCCGTCCACGTTGCCTGATGTGAGCTCAGACTCGGATGGTGATGACTGTGGTTCGGACTCTGAGAGTGAAAATGAAGGGATGAAGAAAGTGAAGCGCTCTAAATTGTCAAAGTCATCGTCGTCTTCCTCAACATCTGATGACATTGATTATTCCATCCTTGAGAAGGACTTGGACTTTGAGTCAGATCCCATGGAAGAGTGCCTCAGGATTTTTAATGAGTCTACAGATGTGAAAACTGAAGACAAGGGCAGGCTGGGGAAACAGGTAATGCTGGTTTGGGATGGTGGGTTCTCTGGCATCTAAACACAAAAGGATTCTGGTTTAGTTTAGGGGTATTGCTTATTTCAAGTAGCTGAAGGAGGGCTATGGAGGGAGATTCCATATGTTGGGATAATCTCATCCATGTCATGACTGAGTGCTTTGAAGAGTTTGCACCTGAATTCACCTGCTGGATTGAAAACTACTGTGAAATGTTAAGGGTTCTGGGCAGAGAAAAACTTAATGAAATAT